CACGGCGCCTCCGGCTCCGCAAGCACACTCCGCCTGCGGCAACGACATTACGTTACTGTACTACATTATATATATATATATATATATACATATATATATATATATATATCTCTCTATCTATCTATCTATCTATCTATCTATCTATCTGTCTATAGTCTATATATCTATTTATATATATATCTATCTATCTATCTATCTATCTATCTATCTATCTATCTAGATTATATTTTATATTACCATAGTATGCTATACACTATAATACGATAAACTTCCGGGCACGGCAGGCACGGCAAGCAAAACTGACCGCCTGGAACCAGAGAGACTGAGCTTGACTTTGGTTTTCCGGATACACACCACCTGCATGCAAGGCATGTACAACCTCCTCGTGGCAAGCCACATGTTGCCATGTCCACAATAAGCTGAGGCTCCGGCACGTTCCTTGGACGCAGCGGTGGAATTTGAAAAGAAGCTCCTGGCAGAGTCTGCGCGGCTGCGCACCTCTTTTTTCCTGGTCCATTACGGGTCCTGTTGGCTTTTGGAGCGATCGGCAGCAGCTTTTCCCGACTCCGCGTCTCTCGTGCGGTCTTCGAGGCGCCTTGGCAACCACCCATCTGTTTGAAGAAATTGTGCCTGCGAACTATTGTAGACATATTTCTTCTTTACATACACAGCACAGCTACAATAGCATCAGCATGCGACAGGAGTCAACATCATTCTCCCTGCAGTCAACCCAGCGCAAGTTGAGACATGACTCCCACAAGCATCCGCGGTCTTCGCTTGTACCCGAAGCCAGGACCGAGTCTTCGATCCTGGAGCTTTGGACGGACGACAGCACAAGCACGGAGACCCTGCAGGCCTGCGTGACGGCATCACCGTTGGGACATTCCGAGGTCGCCAGCCGACCTCGAAGACACATGCGATGAAATTCAGCCTCACGAGAGATCCCTGCTCCAAGCCAAGCCGCCCGGTATGGATGTGACACTAGCTGTGTGATCAAGACAAGAACTCCTTGGCTGCACTGCTTGCTCACGCAAAGAAAAACCACTGCTTCTCTGTCGGCCAAGGATCTGTGGGCTTTGCGGCTCCATTGGCGTATCGTCTCCGATGGAACACCACGACACCTCACGGAGATCCTGGGCAGAGGCATGACTGTAGGATTCATGAACCTATGAATTGCAGTTTCTACCCCGGTATGCAGATAGCTTTGAAAGCTTGTACAGCTCCACACTGCTTCAAAACATGTGCAAACTTGATATGTTTTGAGGGCACCCCGGCAGTCCAGAAGTGGCACATCATACTTTGGTCGTTGAGAAAGCTTCTTCCGCACTGGCGACGGTGGTAGAAGAGGCATCGCTTGCTCCCAAATGCCCTGCGACCGCCGAAATGGAATCACACCCTTATCCTTGGCTTGTAAGCGCACCGGTTGCCCAGAGACTGTTCCGATTCGCCTCGGCCTTTGACCCATGCGGGCTTCGAACTCAAAGACGCATCTCTAGCCCCACTGCAAGTCTCCCCCTGCATGCCAAGTTGCTAGACGAGACAGCTCCGCCTCGTTTCTCGCAGGCAAGGATGCCCAACTCGTAGCAGATAGGCCCCAACAATCAGATGCAGAGCTGGCTGATTCCACCCCTGCCAGCTTGAACAAAGGTGGTGCCTGAGAGTCTGAGAGCTTCGTGTCAGCGGCGCCTGCGCGCCGAGAACCCAGAAACGTGGTGGCAGTGCTGGTGAGCGTGGGTGGCGTTGCTGGAACTGTCCTTGGCCGTGTGAAAACCCTGCCTAGACTTTGTAAAGCATGGCGCCTGGGACTCACAGAAATCACAAGTAGTAACTTGTACCGATGAACCTAGTTTCAAATTTCGCGCAGCCAAGCATCTGATAAAGTGCTGGAAGTTTGCGGGAAGGAAGTAGCTCTCCACTGCGGGCCACGGTCATTCCTTGAATCTAAGCTCCCGCCACGCTCTCAGACGCGCAGCTCCCACACTCTCTCAGCCGTCGCTTGCTGATGAGCAACTTTCTCACAGAGAGGACAGCCTGTCCTCGCAACAACAAACCGAAGTCGTTGTGCAAATTGCGCTCTGAGGGAGAGATCCGGTCCTGGTAGCCTGAAGGCTTTCCAAGACTCATCTTACAAGGCATTTCCTGCGCAAGTGCGAGGAAGTGCCTACAAGCACACAATGTGCAGAGACTGCCATTTCCACACGCGCTGCAACCTGTAAAGGCCCAAAGATTCCGAAGCACAGTGCCATCGGGGGGAAGGAAGGAAGTACCGGAAAGACCCGCCTTGCTATCCTCGCCTGGCCATCTTGTGAGACAACACGCACGCGCCATCTTGAAGTGCCGAGCACGAATGCATCCTCATATACTACCAAGATGACTGTGATTCCAGCTGCTGCTCCCTGCATAAACACATGCGGACTGTCTGCAACTTCTTTGAAGTATGCCGTGATGCTACATGATGCTACACTCCAGCATAAACGGAACATCCTTGTGTGACAGGTTCCATGAGCAATGCGATTGCCTGAAAGTCCCTACGCACCTTCTGTCCTTTTAGGGTCCAAGTTTCTGGGATTCGCCGTAAAGTGAAGCCAGAAGCGGTAGAACCCCACGGCACTTAGTACCCCTACTACTTGGAGGCTCATGGGACTTGGTAACAGGGGATATAAATATGGTATCAATACTTATAACTACTTATAACCCCAATTAAGGCATTTATAACTGCACTTACTAAGTCCCCTGAACCTCCAAGTAGAAGCATCTAGAAGCAGAGTCTCAGCTTCTAAGGGCCAAGCTAAGCGCCCGGAGAGCCCTACGCCCTAAACCCTAAACTCGAAAACCTAAACCCGAAACTCTAAACCCTAAACCCTGAACTCTAAACCTAAACCCTAAGCTCTAAACTCTCAACTCTAAAACCTAAACCCTAAACCCTCAACCCTGAACTCTAAACCTAAACCCTAAATCTAAACTCTCAACTCTAAAACCTAAACCCTAAACCCTAAACCCTGAAGCTGCTACTGCACGAAGTAGGACAGGGCGCTGCCTCTACGTTGCTGATCCGAGTTTCAGGCTAGATTTGAAATCAAATTTAAAGTTTTGGGAAAAACACTGCACTGCTGTACGGGGATCACCTCCAATCCGAAGAATCACCCTGTCTAGGTTGCCTAACCCAACCTTGCCCCAAAACACTGAAACACTTCACACCACACCCGTTCGTGACTTCCAAGAAAACTTTGGAGTCTTGGTTCAGAGTCTAGACAACACGCACGCGCGATCTTGAAGTGCAGAGCATGAATGCATCCTCAGATGCTCAGGGGGCAGAAACACATGCGGACTCACAAGCACATGCATCTGTCTGCACCTTCGTTACAATGCTGTGGTGCTATACTCCAGCAAACGCATACTGGTTTCATGAGCAATGCGATTGATAAGGGCCTGAAAGGGAAAGGCGGCCTGGACAACCCGGTGTATAATCATTGCTTCAACCCGTCAAGCTGGTAGACCCCCTTCGCTTCGCGCGCGCGAGTGTCTTGCCGGCGGCAGCTCGAAGGAGTAGGCCGCACAGTCACGAGCTACCTACGCTGCGGCGTGCAGTATATTTTCAAACATGAAACGTTGACATAACCTAAGGCCGAGCACATGCGATAACAGCTAGCAGCTAGGCAGCTAGAATTTTCTTTCAATGGTGGTTTCAGGCTGCTTGGCCTCAGGTGCTTGGAGCACCGCAAAACAACGACAAAGTTCCGAAAGCTGAACGTTTCTGCCCCACAGCTAACTGCAACCACGGAACAGACCTCCTTGTCCCCAGACTACACAGTGCAAGGAACAGCTTTTTTCCGGCAGTGTCTGAGCAGTGTCTTCATTGGCAAAACGTCGAACATCGTGCAACATTATTCAATGTTGCACTCACATGCAAAAGAGAGGTCCGAACCCAGGATTCTGCCCGGATTTAACGTGGACTAAGTGGACCTCCGTTGTTCATCGAGTCGTTCAGTTGCGCAAAACTCTCATAACTTGCTGCGGGCTTCGTGCGCCTGCAGACAGGCATTTCAAGGCCAGAACATCTGTGAATAGCACGCCCCGCCACATCACGATCTTTCAATAATCGATGCCCTGATCCAGCCAGGCCTGCTGGAACGGTTTGCACCTGCTGGAAGTTGTTCAAGTCTGGATCTCGCGAGCATGAGGGTGGACGTCAGAGGCCCTGCCTGAGCCCTTGGATAGCCTCCCAAGGTCATCCCAGGGCCTCCTTGCACCTGCAACGGAGATGAAAAGAGACTAGACGTTGAGACGAAACGTGGAAGCCGACGCCTGAGAATAGCCTGCGCCGAGACCGCTTCCGGGCACCTGCAGATCATCGTGTCACATGCGGCCGAAATTTTCACCTGAACACAGACTTCCCGCTGCATCCCGCTGCACACTGCAGCCGATGACAGGACCACATCACGACGACGACGACGACCACAGGAAATCCATGTTCGACATGAGGGAATCCCGACATCCACTGCACGGGATGTCAAACCCAGTGTCTCGTCGTTGCAACCAACAGTTGTTGCATTCCACCAGTATATGACGTCAAACCAAGAGAGTGCTGCCGCAAGCTCAACTTATTTGTCCTCAAACCAAATGTACATGCAGCCTGCATTGAGCCGGGAAATGCAGAAGATGGTGTCTGCGCCGGAGAGCGATGCACAGAAGGCGCCTGCACAGCATTCGGGCACTTTTGAGTCTGCAGAGTGCCGTGGTGAGCCGTGAGCCAAGCGCAACAGAAACTGCTTGAGACTTGGCCTGGCTCGTCTGCGGCGAACGTCGACCTGGTTTGTCTCGAATGCCGGACAATTAGTCAGCATCTGACACGATTTGCAACTGTCGACTCAGCATTAATCTGAATTCCACTCCGGGGCTGCAGTTGCAGTCAGTGCTAGGCTTCTGGCTCATAGTGTTTCCTAGCCTCTGGTCCATGCCCTTGGTCACAGAACGGCAAAGACAAACGGGACAAGATGGGACAAATAACAGCTGGATCACATTGTGGACCCTATCTGAGTCCCTTATCACTCGCATGAAACGTGCAATCGAACGCGAATCCAGGCTTCTGACAGGTCGAATTTGCAACGTCCGTGGAGCTGCCTCTCAGAGGCTTCCCCTACCGACATCCACAGCCCGAGTGCGAGGTGTGGGACTGCTTCTGGTTCCAACTCGCAGACGCAGAACAGTGAGCTGCTGGCATGGTTGTGATGGTGCTCTCCTCCCTTCCCATGACCAGAGCACACGCTGTCATGACGCCCGAGGCGGTCTGGTAAGATGCACATTTCAGTTTGCCTTCAGCCCTTCGGATGCATGCTGGGACATCGTCAAAATCCGAGAGATGACCCAAATCAGGAGTTTGCAGGCAGTGAGGCCACGCCGAGAATCATGCAATCGATGGCGAAGTGGTAAGAAATTCGCTGGCGCTCAGATGCTGATGATCATCATATTTGCTTCTAGGTGCTGCTCTTGGTACTCCGTGTAACCCCTTAGCATCATGGTGTGCGGTCTTATGCTCTGTTCCGATGCATCTCCTTCTCTCGGAGGATCTCAGGCTTGCATGGCATCGAAACAAACAGGATCCAATATGCACCGGCATGTTCAGGCCATGATTGAAAAACGCTGGCCAGAATATGTCCAATCATAAACATGATCGCAATCCGATCCCTGTCATTCCCTGTCCAGGTACCAGCGAAGGCGGCCTACTAAACAACCAAAGCTCCGCTGTGAATACTCCAAAAAGACACACGACGGGTCGAGCCTGCTGCTGCTGGTGCTGTTGCATCTGCAGCTGCTGCTGCTCAAGCTGCTGCTGTGGATTCTGCTTTTGCGGGTACGCCTGGTTCTGTTGGAGCTGCTGCTTCGTCGTTGGCGAGACACTGCCGCGGCAGCCGCCCTCAAGAACAGCGCACTGCTCTTGCCAGATGAACCATGCTCTTACCAGATGAAACATGCTCGCTGACGTATAAACATCTTGCAGCATTCGCAAATGATGAAACAGAACGTACCGCTCAAGCCTACTACTGCTGTTGCTCACCGTCTTGAAATCTTACGGCACTCGCGAGAAGCCGAGAAGCTCATCATCTGCACGATGAACTAGAGTCTTTAGCGACATTGCATAGATTTGGCTGAGGAACCCACACCGTGTTCGAAGGAACCAAAAGGCACCGAGCGCCCAACAGATCGCGACGGGATGCTGGTGCGGCTGTGTTCCCTACACGCAAGTTGAAAGGTAAGCCGAAACGGATGGAAGGGCTGCTCAAGACTGTGAAAGCTGAGGGCCAGTCGACAAGACGTCTTTGGTGTTAGTGTTGAGGCTATCCTGCCAAACAGCATGAATCATGAAATGTCTCCCTACCCTTCCACTACCATCACCACAGCTACCACATTGTTACTACCGCAGCCATGGCCAACACCGGGATGAGTTGGGGACGCACTTGGTTTTTTGATTCCAAACGCCTTGCTGTCACAGATCCCTGAAGTGCTTCCCCGCTCCTCAACTTTTAGAGACATGTCGACGAAGGATAACTCTCCAAACACTGGTATCGCATTTGGTGGTAATGCGGTCTCATCCACACCCTGCGGCTCAATTACTCCAGAAGACGGCGCCAGTGCGCCGGCAAGGCAAAACATCTAAAAACTATGTAGGCCGACACCCATCCGAGTGCCCTCTGCAAAGGCTCGCCTGCAGAGCTGCAGCACCAGCGGTCAGTCCTGTTTTCTGTCAAACATGCGAGGACACTGGTCAGAGCATGTCTTGTTCTGCTATGCTCGGACCATGATATACGTACTTCGTCCTCGGACATGGAAGAATGCAGACCCAAGCAATCAAAATCCAAGAGGTGTCATGTTGGGCCTTCGTCAACCCGTTTGATCAACGAATGCAGGCGTACCTGCAAGAACAACGAGGCCAACACCGCGATTCTCTCCTCGATTGCCAGCTTAAGTAAGACATGTCCAAGACCGGCCTTTGTTTGATCAGTGCGTTCCCTCATCGCCGCGGCCCCTTGTGACAACCCCTCGTCAATGCGGCCTCGACATTGGGCCAGACTTTTGCATACAGAATTAAAACCCTGGTGTCGCTGCGAGCTGTCGATAACTCGGCGCCCAGCCAATCAGGCCTGCAAGCAGCCGCAAAATCATCGCGTGAACCATCAAACAGCTGAACAACCGGAAACTGCTCGCAGCCTTTCATTGTCTTGTCCAGCTCGCTTGCCAGTGTGTTGATGCTGGCCTGCAAGAAAGAAACGGTTGGGTATTATAATCTCATCACCCCAAAAGTCCGCGAGATCGCATTCTCTCCCGTACACAGGATCACGACTTGCGGCTGAGGATTCCGTATCACAGAAGCATTTTGCGGCGGGGTTGCTGATTCCCCCACCTGCTGCATCCTGCTCCTTCTCTCAAAATCCCTCCCATCCGTGAGACACAATGGTTGTGCTCGTCCTTCGGATGTCCACTGCCTCTGAAGTTTGTTGACTCAAGTCTGCAGTCTTGGACAGTCGAGAAAGCCCTCGAGAATCAATGTTGCTCGCTTTGGTTTCTTTCGGGGCTTGAGGAACGTGGGTTAACACCTGCGCCGTGGAAGCCTGCAAAATTCGCTCGTGTGTGGAGCTCTAAGTTGTACTGGTCATAGTCTCTCTCGCATCTGGGTCGCTCTGCAGGGTTTGGCGACATGGCAGTGCAATTTTCTGCGCACAAGGCATGCGTTCATCAGACGCGTCAAAATCATCGAAAATGCCGGGCCGCGACTACGGCACGTAGAGGTGCACTGTTCTTCCCAAGCCGTCGAACCCCAAGACTGTACCGAGCCCTGAACCACATAACGACGCACGGGTTCGTTGCAGACGAACAATGGACCACCACACCGGAGGATTCGCAAACGTACGGCACCACACTCACGCACCCGATTCATGCATGTGTGCACCGGATTTCCGTACCGAAAACTTCCTGCACTGGGCGACGGATTTACACCGTGCAACAGGGGGGTAGTGGTACAACGACTTGCACGTCCTAAACACCTTAAGGCCTTACATGAGTCTTCGACACTCTACACACAAAACTACAGCCGGCAGACTCTCAAAGCCTTAATCCCCAAAGCCCCGAAGCCATAAACCCTTAAACCTCAAAACACAAACCCTAAAAACCCCATACCGTGTGGTGGACAACAGCTGCACGCTGTAGAAGCCATGGAACCCAGAGTAGCATTCCAGATACTGTTGAATCGCGAGTGGTACGCACTCGAATCATACTTGCACGAATCGCACATGCTGCAGCTGCAGCCGCACGAGCTTAAATCGCAGTCGTTGCTCGAATTGTGCTTGACCGTGTTCAGTCCAGAAATTTTGGGCTGGCAGATTCCGGTGCCAATTGGATGTCTTGTACCACAGGGGCTCCATGGCAGAACATGAAACCCCGAAACCAAAGCGTCACTCAAGCGGCTCCTGTAGAGGCGGGCTGTAAGATGAGCCAAAGCTAAGCAGCTTCTCTCTCTTTATCTATCTCTCTTTCTTCCTTCTGTGAGGCTTAGTGCCTGTCATAGCCCCAACGAGCCCAGGAATGCGGCAATCTTGGGTCTCCGAGGCACAGACGACCGAACAGACTTCTTCTTCTCATCATCTTCTGAGATTGAGGGGTCGGCAAAGCCTTGCTCAACCTCTGTTCCACAGGCGCGTCGTGAGACAGCCCATCTTCCAAGTGCTGAATGTGCTGAACCGATGCTTTCTGCTCCCCGGTCTCTTCTTCCTTCCTCTCTCTCGCCCCCTCTCCGTCCCGCTCGCCCCCAAGGCCTCGCGGTCCTTGCGCTCGGCATTCAAGTTCTCCTCCACCGTCACCATCCTGGCCTCGAGAAGCTCCCGCATCCGCCTCTCCTGAGCCAGCTCGCCTGGGTTCACGGGTCGAGCTTTCTTACAGCTCAAAAACACAAGAAAAAGCAGCTTGGATGTAAATAGGAAACCTCACGGAAGCTGGACTGCCGTGTGATCGACAAACTGTCCAGAAACGAGGGTTGAGCCGGTTGAGCCAAGTAACCCCGAGCATCAAAATACCGTTGACATGAAAGAGAGAAAGCGACAGCTACAGTTCCAACAGGAGTCGACAGCAAATCCTCTACTCGTCCTTTCTCGGCATCAGCTTCTTAGCCACATCCCGGAACACCTAGTTAAAAAAATCCATAACCGTGAAAGTTACTCAGCTTTTGTATATCACTGGTCAAATATCACAATGGTGCATTGGTTAGCATCGTGGAACGAGCGTCCCGGACAGACAAAGCGCTGCTGCCAACAAACTCGCAGCAATTGATTTGCCTACGATCCGGCCAAGCCACCATCCAATCGTGCCACAAGGGCACGGAGACCAGAGTCACCAGCCGCACCGCCTGTCAAAGGTGCAATTTCATGCACAGCTGCTGAACAGACATGTGACACAAACTTAGAAGTTGAGATGCGAGAGAAGCTGCAAGGGATGAAAGCCTTTAACCTTAGTCACCAGGCTACCTCATGCCTCAAAGCCGGCAACCCTCATAAGTTCCACAGGGAACAAGTTGCCGTCGGATCCTGAGCCGATGGCTCTACAATTACTTGACTTGTTGGTACCGGTGATACATGCTGGAAGCACAAAGTGAAGTGTGGGCTCCCGGAAGGCTCCATGCCCGTGATACACATATGCTTCGACAAACTGTGTGCTCTGCTACAACGCTGGAAATTTGACAGAGAGCAGAGCCTCCTAAGTCGCTGCACTCTGCTTTGACTCGGCGATGTAGAACTGCGACATCCTGCAGCAAGCTGCAACATCAGTGATTTTGCCGTAAATCAAGTCAATCACAGCTCCGGCCTCCTCGAGCCAGGCAATCCGCCGCTCGACGTTGGCACTCCTGGATGTGAGGGCTTCGCATGAGTGATTAGCTGTGGCTAGTATGAGTGACGAAGGGCGGACGTCGCTTGCAGCCAAAGGGCTGCCTCGATGTGCCTCCCGCGCTGGTGTTCAAGTCACTGCCAGCCTGCCGGAGTCAACATGAGAGCCGCGGAGCCCATCGCTGTGCCACGATGCGCTGCCTGGGAGGAGGCCGAGATGGCCTTGCCAGGTCCCGGTCCGGTGATGGCCTCACTCGCGCGAGATCGAGAACGCTTACTCGCAGACGACGCAGGCGACGCCGCACCTCCATCTGCTTGCTCTGCTTGCTCTGCTTGCTCTGCGCTTTGGCACAGCAAGGATCCCATGAGCTGAGGAATCGAGCAGCAACGCGACAGCGAAGGCCACATGAAAAGGTTGGCGACACTTCCCGTCTTCTAGAGCCAGACTTGCGCATCCTGCTACAGTACTTCGCACGCGAGCTTCCCTTTTGATGGTGTCGTGGCTCTCCCCTGCACAATGCCCCAGACATCACTGAGTGAGACACGGAGGGCATCTCAGCATGTCACAGTACCAACCCGGACTAGAAAAGACATGGCCCGGGATCAGCCGATGGACAACAGCCCGAGGCTTGCTGCGCGTCTCCTTCATGTCGGCACATAGCGCTGGGTAGCCTCGCAATCCTCCAGGCTGCAGCCTCATCATCCGACCAGAGTGAAGGAAGCTCTAAACTATCAGGCTTGGAGAATGTTCCGACAAGTTGCCCATCAAGACGTCTGTCTGAGTCCTTGATGGATGCATCAATTCCATCATATTCCATCTGACAGTTTGGATGCTGCGGATTTGCTGCCTGTCACCTGACGTGACCTGCATCTTGCCTGCAAACGACAGCCGCTTGACAAAATGCCCACATGTGCCAACAAGGTGCTCGCCGGTCTTGTTGTCAATGACCTTTCGCCAGCCCGAGAAGCGCTAAACATTCGTGAAAACAGCATCAGAAGACCCCAAAACAAAGACCGATGGAAGACTACGGCACCAGGTCCTATCTCAAGACCACGCCGACAACTCCAACACAAGCGACGGGCCGAGTGGTGTGTGCCAGGACATGACTGAGATTGGGCGAAAGGAATACCGTACTGGCGAGAGCAAGACTTCCTCCCCGAAATGTAACATGCATGGCACTGTCGGGAGAAGAACTTACAAAGTTAGATGGGGAGCCCCAAAGCATTCGATTTTACCACGAGTTTGGCGTCCCCAGCGGATGAGGCGAGTTTGGTCCGAAAATTGAACTGCGGGGCAGCGGCCCCGGTCACACACACTAATGACTCCTCTTTACCCTGGGAACTTAGTGGTACCACATTGTTGGGGAAACAATTTCAGCAACTGAGCTGAGCGCGACTTCTTCGTCCTCCTTGCCGCAGGCTGCCAAAGCAAAGGTATGCTCTCACACTGCTCTATGTTGACGCGAACCAAGTTTCAAACTTAGCCGGTACAATCTCTTGAAGGCATTGCATGCTGCAAGGCGTCCTCGATGCCTTTTGCCATGGGTGGATCCGTCGGCATGTAGCCTGGTAGGTTTGTGTGGCTGGCAGCTAGCTAGAACAGGCGAGGCCCGCATCGTTCTTGCCATGCAGTCCCGAGTCCAACCGAGCGCCGGACACTGAGTGGCTTGCTCAAAGACATGCTCAGCATTTCCTGCAAGTCTGCCATGAGGCTTTGCAAGCTGCACCTACCCCTTCTGTGTGCTCCCTTCCTGCTTCGCCGACATCAGCCTGAACAATGAGAGCAGTAAAAAAGTTGCGGTAGACATGCTGCAAAGTTGCACCAGCTTTCAGACGGTGTCGAATACGCTCCCAATCACCACAACTAGAGTTCCCGAGCCTCAGCTTCGCAGTCAAGCTCGCTCTCTGAGTCCTGCACACCATGCCGAAAAAAAAGTCGAGCTCGCAGACGGGGTTTCAGGTCGATTTCTCAAGCAAGCCAATGTGTTGAAGTGCAGGGTCCTGTTCGGCCGCCTCATGGATGTGGATCTTCACGGCTTGACGTTCCCACAGCTCCTTCTGGTGCTCCTGTTTGTGGGGGGAGCATAAAGCTTCTTTTGGTTCCGCTAGCTTCGGCATCAGAACCAAAGCTCGCCCCCGGCAGCATGACCTCCGTAATCTGTTGCTCAATCGTGTCCAGCGTGACGAAACGCCAAATGTGAATCCTCACACAACCCGAATCATTCCATGGGCCATGACTAAACCAATCCAGTGGCCGCCTCGAAAACCAAGCCGAGCCTAATTGGATACTCAAAAAAGTCTTTGTCGGGCCGCTTCTTCTGCTGGCCAGGACGACGCACGCGGCCAACAGCCTGACCAGGCCAGAACCGACCAGAGTTCTTGGCCGGAAAGGCGAGTGACGCAAAACATGAAGGCGCCTGCATCTCGAAGGCCACAGCCTCCTCTTGAGAGTGTGCCTGGGTGGCCATCTATACTCTGTTGCTGTCATCTTCATGGCTTTGCTGCACCACCAGGTGCCTCCATCGGGTGAACGATGAGCACGTGGTTGGCAGCCTTGGTGTCTCCGCATTCTACGCCCCACATGCACACGGATGTTGGAGTCCCATTGGTGGCAAGTAGCTGTGAGGTTAGTCCCACTGGCTGACTCTTCGAGCGAGAGCAGCAGCATGCGCGGTCCGGAGTCTTCGTACTGGAATCGCCTGGCTGCACGAGGCCGCAGGCATGTCACACTGCAGGCATAGGGCAAGCGGGCTCTTTAGCACTGCGCCTGAGCGCGGCTTGCCGACCCCACACGCTTCCCTGCAAGATGTGGTGAGGCACCTGGGTGGAAGCCCGTGCTGCGACCACTGCGCAGAGGACTCGAGCTAGGCTCCAAACTCCAAACTCTTCCAAGGCCGAGCTGATCTGGCACGTTGCATTGAGTGTGGAATCCATAATCCTACACTGCCCTGCATGCAGTTGACGTGCATGCACAGGTTCCCTTCTCATACCTTACGTGTAGCACCTCAAGCTCGCACTTGCCCAGGCAGCAGTACATGGATGCTTATTCAATTCAACTTCAAGTGCTGGCACGTGAAGTGGCTGCCTTTCGCTTTAGGTCTTCCCATTGGACGAAGCAGATCATCTTGGCCGCAGGATCTGCCTGCCTCAGCCGGCAGCACATGCCTCCAAAATCCTAAGCTCTTGCAAAGTAGCTTCCACACTTCGCCATTGCAGTATACTGGACTGTGCACAGGAGAAGAACCAAAAACCATCACCAAAAGATTACCTGTCGACCCCGTGCAAGCTCAGGTTCAAGCTGGATCTTCTGCGTGTGCTTCACAAGCCTCACGGGCCAAGGCACAGCCGCAAACTCAATGGACATTAGCACACAAGATACGGGGAATGGCTCGAAAATCCTACACCCTTTGCTGTCGGATCGGTCACCTCACGGCTTGCGTTCAAGCAGCATCTCAATCTTCGAACCGTACTTCGCAAATTTCGAACCTTCCCGTGGCATGGATGCAACAGGCACGAACAGGATCCGCACCAACAAGACTAAGCTTGCTGCCTTCGTCCTGTAACTCCTCGAAAGCTTCCGCTTGCGATGCATGCAGGGTGTCCTCTCAGGGAAGAGAACTCAACTTGGAACTGGCCTCATGACTTCCGCATGTCACTGCGGATGTCCTGGAAAGAGGACAGGCTTCTAAGCTTGTCCTGTAGCCCTGCCTTCCAGCTACGAGGCTCATCAAAGCACAAAAAGCAACTAAGTGAACCGGCACCTGGGACGCCTGCAAGCGCTGCACTGAGCCAAGGAGGTCTTCCTGGTTGCCGTGCAAACTGACGCCGAAATCTGCGACGATGTGCAGTCACAGCCAGGTCAAGCAGCCCGCCTTCCATGCCTTCAGAAACTTTTGCAGGTTCTGGGCATTCTCCTGCAGCATATGTCAGGCCACAAGAAGCTACAACTGACTGCTCAGGAATTTTACTTGCCATGGCTTCCGTACACTGACTTCACGTGGTCTCGGTTCCCCGCCCCCACGACTCCAGGCAACCACCACGCGACGCCACCACTAAATCGCTACTTGTTGCAACAAGTCGGAAGACTCTCCTACACTGCAACAACTGACTTGAAGCAAGCTGCTCGAACACTGCGCCATTTCCAGTTGTTCGCTGCCAGCTCATCGGCGTGCTCCTGAGGTTGCATTGAAAGCCCAGAACCCACATGTCATGTCGACCATTGGCTTCGTGAATATTCAAGAACTGCTACGAAAGTGTGACATTCTGATGGCGCAGCTCACTCAGAACGCGAAAGCACTGCAATTGCCACGAGAAACACATGACGGCCGGCCGAGGCTTGCAACTCGACGTGACAGCTGCTCGATTCGCGCACGCTTCCGCCCAAGGCCAGTCCTCCTCGCTGCCGGACCATTGCGGCATTCCCAAGTGCTTGCGCATTTTTGCGCATCTGCGTGAGGTCAGAAACTTGAACCGCTGATACAGAGCCGAGGGCAAGTGCTCCGGGCCTTGCAGGCGGATCACGCCTTTGACACGGAAAGGCGGCCACTGCCTGCTTTATGGCCTCCAGCAGAACTGGCTACACAACCGACATCTTTTGAGAGAACGGCGCGCACATGTCCAAGGATGCCGCGTCCTGTACTCTTCCGGCACCCGCATCCAAACCTCAGGTCACTGTGAAAAGTGGACCCCCGCAAAAAATGGAGAGCAAATTCGACATGCTCAAGGCTGCCCGGGGTTTCCGCTGTTTTTCTTCTCCGGGCGGCCCTTTTGGGATTAAGAAACTAGACTTAGTGTGGACCAGTGTTTCAATGCACCGTACTCTGTGTGCCGAGCGTCTAGCATCACAACGCAACCAAGAAGAAGCAAGAAAATGAAGTCTCCGGTTAGAGAACTGCCGCAAGAGTTCAATGTGATGATTCTATCCTTCTCTGACAGGATCTGAACTTCTTGGACTCCCAGAGCCGCTGATATTCGTCCTTGTCCAATTTCAATCCTTTAGCCCTCTTTAAAAAAACGAACTCGAAAAGACGGATCCTGGGATCCTGGACCTACATCTGCATCAAGCACATCCAAGATCTTCTTCCACTCCACTTCTGCGTTGCCTGTCGGCTCGTGGGTGCTCACACTAAAACCACCACAACGAAGGGGTGTAGGTCAGTGTAAGTAATCTGAGCTATGGATAACTGTGATTATTAACAGTATTGTGTTGTTGTTCTGGCTGTCGTTGTTGCTGTTGCTGTGGCCGCTCTGACTACTGCCTGGTGTTCTGGGTATAATGCATTGCTCCTGCAGCAGGGCTCAGCGCTCTCAATCGTGTCGCCATTTTAGTGACCATTACTCCCATCAAAAACAAAGTTCTCGGAGTTACATAGATATATCTGGTTTTCACTTTGGTGAACAAGTTGTGACCAATATTGCTTTATTTACATCTTGTTATCGCATTCCCACGCCAACGCGCATCGCTTCTAGGAGGACGACGAAGACTACTACTTCTAGTGCTGCCTACTATATTATTGGGCTAGGAAGGTGTTGCATAAGGTCGAGGGTCCAAGGAAGGTTTGAGGGTTTTGAGCGTGAGGCTTGAGGGGTCGAGTTTAGTCTCTACAATCTTCAAACTCAGTTTCTTATCGTCAATGTTCTGGAGCTCCAACATGTCTGGCCGCTGAGCCTTGAAGGCTCTAGAACGGATGCTATAAGAAGGATTGCCGAAAGAACCATAATCCGGCTTACAGGGCGAGGGCCGAACCCGAAAGCCAAATGCATGAAACCATATGTTTTTGACGGCATACTCCTTGCCTCGGCTAATGGAAACACTCTCAGTTTGGGGTTTAGGACTCGGAAAGGTTTTTGCGAGAAGCGCCTCTAAACTAGGTGGTTGCGATTCAATTTGTGCTATAGCTGCATAATATGTAGTCCTCATGCAAACGAAAAATTAAGCTTTGTTGGCCAACGAAACAGACGAAGAAATTATAGTCTCGAGATCTTGACGCCCCAAACCCTAATCAGCCGCAAACCCAAACCCAAAACACCTCACGCCCTAGACAACACGAAGGCATGGACAAAAAGTACCGGAAAAGCCTAAACACCTGCTTTCACCTTTGGTTGGTCGGGGTTGAGAGTTGAGGTTTGGCAGTTCAAAGCTTCGGGTCGTCGCAGGACTATAGGGATCGGAATGGATAATCTTGCAGAATCCTCAAAGAGAGACGGCGCATGTGCACGTGCTTGCCTCCTTCTTCAGAGTCCTGGTACCAAGAGGCAGAGACCTTGCCTTGTCTGTGACGCGGATCAAGGAAATGCATCTTGACAGGTACTGAATCTACTACGCAGTAATACGAGTAGTACCTAGTCACCTAGTCTATAGAGGCTATTAAGCGACCAGCACTGCAAGTGATGCTCGAAGCAAGCTGGACAACACAAGCCCGAAAACACCGCCAAGTCACTCGCCAGCTTCGTGTCGAATCCCCTTGCCAGAGCGAAGCTCCGCAACCCGGCACTGCGCTGCTCGGCCGTTGCAAAGAGAGTCTTTTGCAGCTCGGCCTGGGCTCACAGCCGGGGCTGCAGGGGGCCTTCCGAGCATAAGACAAGAGAAGCTTGCTTATCCGGAGGGTTCGGACGTCGGTATGACAAGAAGAGCCAAGTGTGACAATGCATGGACTCTGTTGCTTACGGTATGCCAAATCACAGAACCTTCAACTGGCGCCATGGCACCTTGTTGCCCAGGGCCTTGACGCCCATGAACTTCAGGCGAGCGGTCAGGACACCCTGCATGCAGCGTGAGCATCGAATCCACTACATGTCCGGCAGCCACCTACTAGCCATGAGCTAGAGCACAAATCAAGTTGGTCCTTGGACTCCTTGCAGATGTGAGGGCAGTTGACTTCATCTGGCTGCTTCCCAAAGAGAGGTTCGAAGTGACCGATGAGCTGTGCCAGTGAGGCGGCCCTTTCCGCCTGCGCTTTGATTTCCCTCTCAGCCCGCAGGATCCGCTCTCTTCTCAGTGCCACCTGCTTTTGGCACTCGTCTTCGGCTGTCAGCACGTCAGAGGCACCAGAGAAGCAAAAGTGGCTGCAAAGCTTGAGCAGTCCACAGGTAGTCTGTCCAACGTCTTTCAAGGCCCTGATCTGCTGTGGAAGGTCGTGTGATTGCGTGTCTGTAAGCCCAAGCTCCTGGGTGAGTTGGTGCTGCTGCGTCAAGGCGAGATACAGGGCACGCTCCTTGACTGTCTGTCGAACCGGAACAATACGCTCCTCCTCCTCCAAAGGTGGCAGCTCCGCTGTGTTTCTGCGGACAAAAGCGTCAAGCCACTCTTGGGCGACCTTGCGGGGTTCCTCTTTGTCCGTGTCCGCCGGTGTCTGCGGAAGCTGAACTCCTAGAAAGCCTGCTGCCTTCCGTATCTGAGCCAAGGTCTGGCAAGGAGGCGTCCCACTGAGACCCCACTTGTTGTCAGCGTGGAACAATTCTACTGCAACTTGCGCAGGCGGGTATCTGCTCAGAAGTTCATGAAACTCGTCGCAGACGATCCGCTTCCACCAAAAGACCTCCAAGGGCACATACTGGGTCTGCAACGCCGGCTCTGGCCAGTCAGAGATGCGCGTCTCCTGCAGAACAGAGCCTGTTGCAGACCCGGTTTGCTTCCCGGTGACACGACGCCGCTTCTGGCTTGCCTGGCTCGTTTGGGTGGCTTGAGCAGCCTGGCTCGCTGCATCATTTGCAGCTTTGCTCTCGTTGCTCTCTTTGCTCTTGCTCTTGCGATTCTCCTCGGAATCACCGGCGAAAAGCTGCTGCCGAACGGGAGCCAGGCCTGTTTCGATCCCAAGCTTGGCTGCCCAGCCAGGAAGGGCTTCGAAGGCAGCGCGGTAGGCTTGCGACCACTCCTCCCCGGCGTGCTGACCCTTCTTCGGGAAGGTGAAGCCAAACGAGCTCTCCCGTGCCAGTTCTTCGAGTCTCCGCAAGTAAGGCATGGAGTAGAAGAGCCGATATGTGGACACCACAATATCGGCCTCGGCAAGCTCCTTTAGAGTCAGCCGCTTCAGCTGGGAACATGTTGGAACCGAGATCACCTTGAGCGCATCTCCAGTGAACTTGGAGATCTCCGAGAGCCACTGCTTGTGAAGGTTCGTCGGAACCAAGACCAAAGTGGCTCGGCTCGGAACGAAGCCTCGCCAGGAAGCCGCCCAAAACCCAAACCCCTAAACCCCTAAGCCCCTAAACCGTTTAAACCGTAAAGGCGCTCAGCTTTGGCCCCCATAGAAGCCCCTGTTTCTGGAAAGGAGCAGAAGCCACCTTTGAACCCCGGAGACCCCATTATGTTACGTTATATTACATTATCTTACATTAAATTACATCATATTACATTATATTACATTATATTACATTATATTACATTATATTACATTATATTACATTAGATTACATTAGATTACATCATACTACATGATACTACATGATACTAATTTTTTGTTTTATTACATTACATTACATTATAATCAGCTATATGACATTTCTTGCTATATTTTACTATATTACACTATATTATGTTATGTTATGTTATGTTATGTTATGTTATGTTATGTTATGTTGTGTCATGTCATGTTATGTTATGTTATGTTATGTTATGTTATGTTATGTTATATCATATCATGTCACCCCCCAATCTGTTCGGCCTCGGAAAGATGGCGGAATCGTCGGAAGCGGGGCTTCCTGGAAGAGGGCAGCAGCCGCGGAAAGCGCTCTCTCTTAGTATCATTTACTAGCAGTATTAGTAGTAGTATTGTTGCTTACCACTGTTACTGTTGCTTTTAATTAGTGCATGATTATTGTAACTGTTATCAGTACTAGTAGTCGTGGTAGTAGTAGTAGTAGTAGTAGTAGTAGCAGCAGTAGTGTTGATGATACAAATCCTGCAAAACATTAAGGACCGTAAACTATGAGAAATATGGCATATTCCTTATTATGTGTCATGCAGGATTTCTATCATCAACCGTATATCACTGTTATATAGCTACTATTCTTACCGCTGTTAGTACGAGTATGAGTAAAGAAGCGAGGGCTCTTGTTCCTGGTGAGATATGGGGGCAGCCTGGGGGCCTGGCCTTCGTTTTGTCGACGAGGCCGATGGTGCAAGCGGTTTTGCCGTAGCCGATGGCATCCGCCAAGACGCCGCCCTTGACGTTGTGATACTCGCAACGGAGGCTTCCTGGCAACAATCTCTGAGGATTGCGATGCCTTCCCTCCCTCTTTCACCCTGTCCTTCCAGCTTCCAGTGGGGAGCATCTGGGCAGGAAACGGCCTTCCGTGAAATGGCGTGAACAGGGGGAAAGAAAAGCGCCCTGGCTGTAACTGTCGTGCAAGTCCCATGATTGCATGTCTTTGTGCCTCCCGCAGCTCCGTGACAAAAGGCTCCTCTGTGCTCCGCTGTTCCTGAAGCACAAAGCACAACAAGCGACACACTTCGATCTTATGCTTCCTTCCCTCCCTGTCCGCCTGTACAAGCATCCATCCCAAGGATCTCAATTGCTCTCGTCGCAAAGGATATTGCAAGAAGTTCGGTGGCTGCGTGGTGGCAGCATCCTTCAACAGCCAAGGCGGCGAGAAGCGCTGCGGCACCAAGATTGAGCCCGAAGCCTCCGAAGCCTAAGCCTCAAACTCAAACCAAAAGCAAGGAGTCCTCCAAGTTGCTCAGGATTGAAAACTCTCCGACTGCGTGGGAGGTCGATCGGTCCTCAAGATCCTTCTCCTGGACTGCTGTTCCGATGCTAGGCGACTGCTTGGCATTAGCTGAAGGCTGGCCTCGCCAGCCTTTCCATCCGTGGAGTCAACGACCCGCCACACGAACCGGGCGGCCGGCACCCGGCCTTCTGCTCAAAGTGCAAGCCCAGAGACTGAAAGGATCGAGACGCTCCCCTTCCCCTGCCTCGACGAACCATCCTCATCAGCAACACTCCTGCCAGCTCCGGGCCAAGAAGAGCAGTGCTAAGTTAGTGAAGGTCGCCTGGCCGAAGAAGCACTCGCAACATTTGTCGGCCAGGGTGAACTTGTAGGAGCCAGGCCTCCTCCTCGTGAAGCTGACGGCACAGGGTCGTGTCTGAGGCTACTGCCGCTACGGCTACGGTCTCCTCGACAACCCTCGCAGCATCGCCGGGAAGATCGAGGGGCAGTTGCCACTCCTTCGCTGCAGGAGGAACCTGTGCAGGGCCACATTCCGACTGGTGTGCCAATATGCTACTTGGTGGCTGTTGGATCTGGATAACATGAAGATCAGGCGGCCTGCAACATAAGTTCGGGCTTCAACGGCTCGAAAACGGACAACTCGTGGCGTCTTGAAGCGAATAGACAGCGAGTCCTCGGTGCATAGGGGCTGTCAGTATACCTGCCAGCGAAACACCACGAGGCATAGCTCTTGCGAAAGAGGTGCCCCATCGCTGTGTTGTTCCCGGTGACATCGAGCCAAGTTGACGGCAACCGATTGAACAAGGCCTTGCCTGATTCGAGCAAGGGTATCTCAGCCTCGAGGAGAGGCACAGCATCCAGAAGCTGCCGAAGACCAACTGGTGCCGTCAGGATCAGACGCTCCTCAGTCCAGGCCATAATACAACACAACATGACAAATATGCAAGATTTAAGTGACCTGTCCACAGCTAAGGCTGCTTCAAGTCTGTCCGCGACATCCTCGGATGAGAATTGCCTCAATGGTGGGGCCATCCCCTCCTCGGAAACCTGCAACAGGAACTCACACGGAAGGGCTTAGCGGCTTTGCATTCAAGTCCACGCAGAACAGCAATAGTGCAAGCGCAGGCCCAGCCTCCTGAACAGAGCTTACTCTGATCTTGAGAGCACTCAGGACCAAATTTCCTGACTGGCCAGATGCCAGTGCTCGCGCGGGGCTTGGCAGTGGAACACCTCCACTGGGCTGAGAAAACTCGTTCACGTCGACAACATCATTCGTGGACCTGTCGCAGTCACAGCTAGACGACACACATTCTGCAGCATGGCAAAGCCGGCTGCATCGATCCAAGGTTTCCACCGTTTCTCACCAGCTTCGAACATCTTCTTCAGGTCATGGCACGGTACCGGTTTCCTCGTTCTGGTCTTTTTGACCTTGGGAGCTTCAACCCCCTGTCCGTCGTCGTGAAGCTCCTCGCATCGAACTCTTGCGACGAACCCACACGTGATTTCGCACAAGTGATTTCACCGTCTTTCACGCCCTAGATCAGCGATCCCTAAGAACAGAGAGCATGCGTCTGTCCTCAGCTTGCTCCTGGTCAGCATGTTCATCTTGCTCGAGCTGCATGGCAGCCTGCCAATTTACACATGCGATAGGTCAAACACACTCAATGTAAGAGCAGCAGCAAACACTGTATACTAACGTCGTCGCTCCTCCATGGCTTCGGCACCTTGCGCCGCGACGAAGCTGATCATCTTGTATTAAGAACTGCGAACAAGACAACGTTGCTTTCTACCCGAGTGCATCAGCTTCTTGTGCGCACTGGAACTATGTATGCAAATGAAACTGTTCAAGTTCTTGATATGTGATCGTGTGCTTTATGTTTGAACACATGGAGGCCCAATCCCAACCATGCATACACACACACACAGACGCTCGCACGCTGCTACATTGACACTCATGCAACAGCACGCTTCGCTACAAAGGCTTGCATGATCGGCGACGTTGCAATCCAGCTTGAATGCAAAAAAAAACATTCAACTATCGTAGCCAACTTCACGAATCAGGTGCGTGACACGTCCACCACTTTGCGTTCAACACAGAAACCCGCCTGCACCCACCAAAATACTTTCGTTAGCCCCTTTTGCGCTCTGTCAATTTCCTAAGGACAGCAAAATCGAAAAAATATTGCCTGGCAAAGCAGCATTGGAAAAAGATAACCATCCAAGAAAGCCCATGTTCGTTACCCGGACTTCCGATTTATGAGCTGGAGCCAATCCCAATCCTTTTGGCTGTGAAAAAGTTGGCAAAGCTTCTTGCGAGAGCTCCCCAACTTGGATGATGATGCGGCCAAACATGCAAGCAGGCCTGTGGCGAAGTGCATCGCTTCCCTAGTATGCACTGTGCACTCTGGAGCAACGGCTCCAACTCAGTGTGTGGTATGCCACGTCAACACCATGAGCAAGTCCGCAAATGCTCCAAGTCGTTTTTGCTTCGATTCTTTCAATATAGATCTCAATCAGTGGCATAAGTCAAACAAGCCCACGAGTTCGAACGGAACTTGTACAGCATGAGCAGCATTTTTGACGATTTTGTTTTGGTGACCACGCAAAACCGGCACAAAATGCTGTACAAAAAATCCAAAATGCAATGCCTATCTGCCAAATACACAACAGGAACCGAATCAACTTTACCGAAAAGGGAGAAGTTGAACCCAAGTTCGAGGAATCGGACTTCCCGACCCGGGCCCGGGAAGCCCGTTGGGGGAGCAACGCAAAACATTTTTGTTGGTCGCAACAGAAACGAGGGCTAGCAGAAACAGGAACCACACCGGAGCGTAACAGGAACTGTCCCATGAAAGCCTTATGCCCGACGCCGCTGTTTCGTTCGAGGCATCTGGAGTCTCGAGTTTGGGGTTCAAACTCACGGTTTGGGATATCGGATGCCAGTGACAACACACTCCTTGTCTGTGAAGCTACAAGTTGTTTCTTCATGTTGTTTTTGCTGAAAAAGGATGTTTTATCTTCCACAAATTCGCACTAATCAAAGTCGAAATTGTCGCACTACGGGTGCTACTACTATTTCTGGCGGGGCTATCTTTTTGCCCATCGTGGACTCACCAGCGCCAGCTTGGCTTGTTTTTTGGGTTGAGGGTTTGGGCTTTCGGGTTTCGGACTCTGCGAACTGTAGAGGTATTTAGGAGTTCTCTGCGAAGGGTGGAGGCTCAGCTGCTGGACCAAGCGGCAGACAGAAGCCCAGAGATGTCTGCGGAACACTCTAGCGCAGGAGAAACTCCTAGAAGCCCATCGGGCTCAAGGCACCCGGCCAGGAACCCCAGCTATCTCGGAACAGAAGAGCCGAACGCCTAGTTTCACCGACCAAAACCCTACCGCCTGCAGGATCCAGCAGAGGGGGTTCCTTCATGTTCAGCATCTTTGAGCTGGCGGAAACAACACCTGCGTTGTCACAAAAAAATAACGCGCGGATCTGCTGCTGGAGGCGCTTGCCTGCACAGGTAAGTGGCCGCAGCTCCGCATCTGCGAAACGCTTGCTGGCTTTCCGCCTTCGGGTTTAGGTTAAAATTTGAAACCCTACAGCCTCAACCTTCGTTCTAAGCCCTACAACGTTAACCTTAAAACTTCCTTCCACAACTTAAACCCTACACCCCCTAAACCCAAAACCACCTTTATTATAAAACCTAAACCCTAAACCTTTATTACAAGCTAAACCCTAAACCTTCATTCGAAAACCAAGCGCTAACCCTTCATTCTAAAACCTAAGCCCAAGCCCCTAAACCTGAATTCTAAAACCTAAACCCTGAGACTTTTGGGATGAGGGTGCATGTCTTAGGAATGGCTGTGGGATGAGGAACACGGCTGCTCGAAAGACTGCTCAACAAATCAGATCCTGAAACCAGCCACAAAATGATTTAACAAATCGGGTCCTAAAACCAGCTGCAGAATGCTCCAAGATCGCCCTCCGGTCGGTTCGTTTTCCCGTTCGAGCCTTGTCGCTCTGCGGTACTTACTGCTCCTAAGGCTTGGGCCAGGACTGGCCAGAGCGCAATGCCCAGAGACGCCTTGAGCCAAAAGGGCGATGGGACATCACCTAAATTTTGGCAGACCCCTAAATAGTAAAATCAAAGCATGTAGTATTCTATACCTTAAATATATAGGCAAATCCAATACATAATATTAAAAAACAACATAAATCTCTAAAAAAAAAAATATATATATATATATATGTATATATGATACACGGCGAGACAAAAAGTCAATAATCCCCAACATACCCTGTGCACTGTTTTGCTTTTAACCTAGCACCGACACACGGCATGTTAATTCAGGTTTGCGTTTGGCGAAGAGCCAGTACCGACGCCAAGGTCTCAATTGACCAGACGTTGGAAGACTTTTGACATGTCAGCGCGTGGACAGGAATGTCGGAGGAGGTCTGCATCTCTCTCTTATATCCATGTTTCAAAACTGCGCTATGTTACTGTGTAGTCTCTGGCTGTTTCGTTGATAGCGTAAGTCCTTCTTCCCCGCTCCGGCCGGAACCCGCTCCAAAACGCGGCCCTGCAGCCCCAGAGCTGGCTTTTAAAAGGCCCGAAAGTGCGCGAAAAATCCATGCAAAATCTTTTGGGCCATAGTGCGG